TACTTAGTAAAGAAAAAAGGGTTGGTTGAAAAACTCCAAATTCGGAAATTTTAAAGACAAAAAAAAAATTTAGTAAATATATTTTTACTGTTTACTATGTTTCGTCACTGAACTTTGAACATGTTTATGAACTTTGAACTAAACCTGAATGAACCTGAACCTTAAGTTCAGGTTCAGTTCAGGTTCATAAATTCAAAGTTCAGTTCAGATTCAGGTTTAAAGATCTGCAAAATTTGTGGTTCAGGTTCAGGTTTAGATTAGGTTTATTGAATCTAAACTTGAACTGAACTGAACCTAGAAACCCTATATCTAATAATTAAGACAAATTAGAGCAAGATTACAAATAAGCATAATCCTATATTAAACAACTGAAATTTAGTAGATTTTTTTATTTGGATTAGACAAAGTTAATAGAATTTAGTAATTTCTATTTTTTTTGCATATAATGAATAAGCTTATGTGTTGTAAATCTTAAACTAGTATTAATATAATTACATAAATCTAATACATTGTATAACAAATAAAACAATTGTATAAATATTTGTTTACATGTGATTGTTTGTTTTTAAAAAAATAACATTAATATGCAATAGGAAGTAGCAAACAAAAGTCCAAAGTAGTCAAATCTTTAACACTTCAAAAAAAACAAAATTTATTAAACTCTTCTACTTTACCAGCAAATATTTCTAATCAAATATGTTAAACAAAACAAACTCTGTATCTGAGTTAAATACATCAAATAAACAAGCTTTGAAAATTATCAACCAACACTTGTATAGGAGTTTTTTTTAGCAAAAGTGAACCAAATTAGCTGGTTATTATCTAGCTAAATGCAAATTTTGTTTAACTAAGTAGAGAAGAGGTAAACTAGCAAGACTTGAAGCACATCTTGTACTAGAGTGTTCTAAAGTAGAAGATCATATTTGGCAAATATATTTGTTTTGTGTAGCTCATAATGATGGTATTACAGAAGAAATACAATCTGAAAATTTATTAGCTAATGCCAAAAAACAAAGCAATAAGCAGTCAAGTATTTTAAATTATTTTTCACAAAAATTAGATAGTTTATTAGAGAGATATATAAATTCTATAAATAGCTTATTATTAAAGGCTTTTGTAGTATGTGGCATTCTATTCTCTGTTATAGACAATCTATTTTTTATCAATTTTCTTCAAAATTTATATTCAAATTATAAGCCACTATTAAGTAAAATATTATTTAAGTGATTATTAGATCAAGAATGTTCAAAAGTTATAGTCAAATGTGAAAATATTTTTTATGAATTAGATAATCTTACTTTAGATATGATTTTAATAATATATATTAAAAATTTATTTATTATTATATTTAATAATAAATTTTATTATTTGTAACACTAGACAGATAGTCTTTATCTAATAGAAATTCAATTTATAGCTTTATAATTTTAACTTCTATGCGTGAAGTGTGGCGACTTTTGTAGTAGTCTAGTCGTCATCCTCTCCAAGTGGCAGGTCTAGAGTTCAAATCCCACGGATGACGAATTTTGAAAAATAGCCTGTGCTACGGTT